GGCTGTACGACCTCATGCCCTAGTCTCAGCTTATTGCCAAATAGGAGTTTGGTGCTCTCAGGTGGCCCTAAGGTTGACCAGACCTCCAAGACCGACCCTATTCAGACCACCCCTGCTCTTTCTGTCTTACCATTTATGATCTTTCCACCTGTATCAAAACTGCTTCCCTGATTTGTGATACCAAAGTCTAGGAATAGGACCAAGTTACATGTCCTGGCATATGCCTTAGACAGTTCTATTACATTTACACTGTGCTAAGATAAAAATAGCAGCTTTTATTTCCTGTTTTTTTGATGTGCTTATCCCTCCAAGGAATTTCAAATTCAGTTTCTGGTCCACCTCCTTGCCAAATAACATACTGACATACACAAGCACACACGTACATATATGCGTATGCAAACACACACAGACACACCCCTTTCCATTTTCCAATCCAGGACTTGAAAAGTCCATTACAGGGAGACTCTTTGATTATCTCAATTGTTGTTTGTTTCCTATGGGGGGGAATTCAACCTAAATATTTACATCTTTTCAATTTTAAATATTTATACCTTTTAAATATTTAGGAGGAGGCCCAGGGAAGATGTCATGAGGCCCCTGGTGGTCCTATGTGGGTTTGGGCCATCTAGAAGTCCCTGTCCCCCAATCTTTCCAAGTCTCTCTCTGGAGCTGGGACTAGCCCAGGATGGCTGAGAAGAGTACACTCAGGCTTCCCCAGGGGACGGTTTCCTGGGTAGGTCCCAAATCTCTTACAATCTGGACAACTCAACAAATTGGTATTGGAGGTCTCTGAACGTTTATTATGAACTCAAATCATGAACTTCTCACAGAGCAAAAAAGGAACCACAGAGTGGGTAAAGCCTACGTATTTCTCCATAATCAAAAGCTCTTTTCACCTTTCCTGCTGAGCAGCCTGTGGGAAAAGCTTCAGAATCTCGGTGTGGACCAAAGTCACTTGAGAAGTTTCCTTCACTTTTAGTTCTAGAGTATAATCCTTGCCAAGTTTGTTTTTCAGGTGTTGAATGGAGCCAATGCATCTATGGGCAAGAAGAAGATGTTGAAAAAAAATATTGCTCTTAATTTTTTATGTTATTCTCAAATTTCAAATGTAGGGGAAAGGATGTCACTGAGAAAGATAAAAGGAAGGTCTCCGCAGCTGCTCCCAGTGATTTTGCCCTTTCCATGGGGAATCTTATCTGGGGCATCACATGCAGGCTCTGGAGAGACACCCACCGCAGCCTTCCAGACACCATGATGGCCACACGGTCACACAGGGCCTCAGCCTCAGCCAGGCAATGGGTGGTCAAAAGGACACCTCTCTCTGTGTTTTTAACGGCTGCTTGGATTGCCTGCCTGAAATGAGCCAAGAAATTATCCACATTTTTTTAAAAAGTACGAAACAAACAAACAAAAATATAAAATATATGAATCATATTCAAATCCTAATTCAAAAAAACAGTGAAATGTAAATACTGACTAGGTTTTTGATAACATAAAGAAAATTTTTAAATATTTTAGATGTGCTAATCATATTGCAGTTAAGTTAAAAAAAGACATCTTTTAGAGATGTTAACTGAGATATTTATAAATAAAAGAATATGCTGCCTAGTATTTCCTGCAAAATTGGAGAGTGGGGAAAGGAAGTGGGTGGAGGTATACATGAATAAAGCTTGGCCTTCCATTTATTGATAACTGTTGAAACTGGGTGATGGGAATAAAGGATTCATAAATGATTCTCTCAACATTTGTATAAAATTGCTATGATAAAGTATTTTTAAAAGTTGGAAAAATATCAGACAGTCACAAATATGAGACTGGATTGAATATTTTATTAGTCTAAAAGGTAAGTCCTAGATAGGAAAGTAAGAAGAAGGAAAAAAGTGAGAAAAATTGGATAAACAAATTTGACAGGTTAGGTCAAAGAGGAATACAAAGGAAATGGGAGATTGTGTCAGGAAGTTAACAGTCTCCAAGGAAACAAAGTAGAAGAAAAAAGGAAACATTTATATATTAATACATATCAATAATTAAAGGGTAAA